ATCGACGGGACAAGCTGAATGGTTCCATCCAGGAGTTGTCCACCATGGTGCCACATGTGGCAGAGTCGCCGCGACGCGTTGACAAGACGGCGGTGCTGCGCTTTGCCGCGCACGGACTGCGGCTCAAGTACGGTAAGCATATATGTTTTGCACAGTCTGGCAACCTTTAACGCTTAACAGTCTGCCAATTTGAATGCGATAAAGAGCTGCCAGACTGTTGCAAAAGTCGTGTAGCTTGCGCAAAATAAGAACTCGACTTAAATGATATAAAATGTTAGTTCCGCATAATTAATAAGATTTATTGGGCATATATCTTGATTCAATTAGTGTTTGGCAAGACGTTGCATCAACAGCGACCGCAAGTGACGGACACGCTGATGGGCATGCTGGATAGCTTTTTTCTGACGCTCACCTGTCACGGTCAAATACTGTTAATATCGTCCAGCATCGAACAGCATCTGGGCCACTGTCAGACCGACCTGTACGGCCAAAGTATACTGCAGATCACACATCCTGAGGACCATGAAATGCTCAAGCAACAGCTAATACCCACCGAGCTGGAGAATCTCTTCGATGCGCATGCTGAGCCAACGGATGCCGATGGTGAGCCGCGCCAGCGCAGCAAATCCGAGGAGGATTATATTGATCGCAAGTTGCGCGATGATCGACGCAGCTTTCGTGTGCGGTAAGTACTATTGCACTGGCAATAACAGTTAAAAGAGCACTACAAATTGATTAAATCAAAGGAAAAACAACTTTCAATTGGCTTCACTCCAAGTGATAAACAAGCGACAGCCACAAGTGCTGCCAATTTGTTCGGCTATGTCAAAAGTCTCAGCTAGCCACTGATTGGCAGCACTGCAGCTGCTGGCGAAACACATTTCAAACGTTCACTAAAAGTGCTGCCAGTTTGCGCTAACTGAGCTATCCCCAGAGCAAAGCAAAGTCTAGCCCGATTGGCCACACTGGCCTATCGATATGCACACGCAGCGATAGCAACAATTTCGATAACACGATATACATATGTTATAAGTTCCATCTCCATTTCCAAACACTTTCTTCTGCATGCAGCTTGGCGCGCGCCGGCCCACGCTCAGAGCCCACCGCCTACGAGGTGGTCAAAATCGATGGCTGCTTCCGGCGCAGCGACGAGGCGCCGCGCGGCATACGCTCGAACACGTTCAGCTCCAGCCTGCAGCTAATACGGCGCACCCGCGGCCGTGACGATGCCATACCTTTGCATACGATAAGCGGCAACGATATTGTGAGTGCAAACCAGATCGAAGAATTCTATATGCATACATATATCTACATATATATAATATCTATACGATTTGCAGGTGCTGACCGCATGTGCGCGCATTATAAGGCCACCGAAGATCGTGAATCGTCTGTTCGATGCGAACACCCTGGAGTATCGCACCAGGCATCTGATCGATGGCCGGATCATTGATTGCGATCAGAGGATCGGCATTGTTGCCGGCTATATGACGGACGAGGTGCGGAATCTGAATCCGTTTACCTTTATGCACAACGATGATGTCCGCTGGGTGATTGTTGCCCTGCGTCAGAGTGAGTGCGAACCCGCCAACCCCCCACCCCCCCACCCCTTCCACGTTACCATTTGTTATATATTCCCTGTTTTGTTTACAGTGTACGACTGCAACAGCTCGTACGGCGAGTCGACATATCGCCTGTTCACGCGCAACGGCAACATCATCTATCTGCAGTCGAAGGGATATCTGGAGATTGACAAGGAGACGAACAAGGTGCACTCGTTTGTGTGCGTCAACACGCTGCTGGGCGATGAGGAGGGCAAGCGTCGCGTCCAGGAGATGAAGAAGAAATTCTCGGTGATCATCAATACACAAATACCGCAGTCGACAATTGATGTGCCCGCATCGGAGCATCCCGCCCAATTGGAAAAGGCTGTGCTCTGTCTTATACAGAATTTGCAGAGCTGCGGCTCGGATCAGGACAACGATCGGCTGGATGCCGATGATGATGATGACGATGATGACACCGATGACGACATCGAGGATGCCATGTCCAGCATAACAAACTTCAGTCATGCAAGCCACGATTCACAGCAGCATCATCATCATCATCATCGCCATGGTCATGGACATGGTCATCATTCGCATCACAACTTTCTCGAGAGCACAATGTCACAGGCGCGGCTGGGCGCCGGCAACGGCATGGGCAGCTCCAAGACGCCGCCGCTGGCCCTTGTGCCGCCGGAGACGGCATCGGTGAAGTCCTCAATATCGAAGAGCGTCAGCGTCGTGAATGTTACAGCCGCCAAGCGTTTGCGCGCCCTGCATGCAACATCGGCCGCCCAATCGCCCAGCTCCAAGTCGACCAGCTGCAGCTGCCTCGGCGTCGGCGACGGCGACTGTGACTATTGCCAGAGCCCGCTTACACCCGAATCGGTAATGGGCAGCACATCCGTTTCGCTAAAGCGCAGCAGCGCCACCAGCTCTCAAGATGGCCAGGACGATATGTTGCTGGCCAAGCGACTCTTCATGCCGAGCACAGGTGAGCGCCGCATGCAGCCATATACCATACAATCCCTCTGTCAATCGGGCGTCGAGCTAGGAACTGGACACTTTAAAACTATATTCTCCACACCCTATTTAGAACAGTAGAAATGGGCATAACTCGAAGATTATAAGAGCTAGATACTCCAAATCCATTGCATGTAGCTTCTCGTATTGTTCCTTTGGATAGCTACCCTCAGTCCATGTACGCTTCGAATTGGGATTGTGCCGGGTTATCTTTGGTTAAGATTAAGTTACAATATGGAATTTCGAAACGATCAATTGAATAATCAATTGAATGCTTTGCCTCTTAGCAGTAATCACGCACGTGCTGGGCAGCTCGCTGGAGCAGATGGAACGGACACTGGATCAGCAGCTGAGCGCGGCAGTCCAGCTGCGGGAGCAGAACAATCGTTACGATGTGCCGCACGCCAACGAGCGCATAGATGAGATCATGGTGAGTCCGTTCAATGCATCAATCAATGTCAACTCAATAAATTCTCAATATCCATACGAACAGGAGGAGCATCAGAAGCAGAGCAAACTCTTTGTGGACATCAAAAGCGAGTACGAGGAGCTACAGAACAAGGCGGCGAACTCAACGAAAACGGATGCCGAATCGCAAAGCAGCAAAGGCAAAAACAACAACATGCCCTAAACACACACACGCACACACACACACCTATCTATATATATATATATATATATCTATGTATAATTGAGGGTTTCAGCTGATGTGATAAATGTGGCAGCCAACGGCAAAGGCGAGTGCGACTGGAAGCTCAAAAAGGCGAATGCAGTCAAAGCTGAGCTACTATTCAAATTGTCAAACCAACTAGAATAATGCACTTGAAAGTGCTAACAACTATTTACAAACACAATGTGCATAGGCATCAACTATGTATATACGATATATATATATATGTGTGAGTAGCCGATAAGTTGAACCGAACCGAATGAGTGAGCATGCTACAAAAACCTACTTTAGTTGGGGCTCCTGGACTCGCCCAGCGGCTGTTCCTTTCTTTTTTTTTTCTTCCTTTTTTTTTATATAAACGTTTCTAGATAACTAAACATTTTTATATAAACATATATATATATAGAAATAAATCTTTTTTTTGTTAAATGTAATTTGTATGTAGGAAACACACACACACACACACACACACACTTACACTCACATGCATAGGCAACTAGTTGAATATTTAGTGCAAAAAGTGTTTGTTAATTCGTTTAAATTAAAATTTATAGTCACACAATACAATTATTACCTACCGTATATACACATATATATATATATACCCTACATATATTTAAATGGCATGTATATACACACACACACACACACACTTCTATGTGCCGCTGACCATGGCTCTGAGGCATTGGCATTGGCAAACTACAAACTAAACGTGATAAAAGACTGTTACCAATTAATGTTTAGCCTAAGCATACAATAACTACATATATATATGTTTATATATATATATATATATATATACGATATACACACTTATAAAACGGTCTAATACAAACGGCACAGTTAAATGTATATTTACGTTTTACCAACATTTTAAACATATACGATAATATATGGATATATATGTAAATCTAAAATGTTTTAAATGTTTTATGCTCTACACAAGAGTGGAAGAGAGAGAGAGAGAGAGGGCGCCCCCCCCCCCCCCCCGCCCCCCCTCGTCCGGCCAATCCCCTCAAAGTAAACAATTTGTTAGGTGAATTATTGTGAATGTGTTAGTGTTACACTGTGAACAATTTTTGGAGCGCAATTTGAATTCAAGAACGGTTTTCATAACAAACGCGAATTGTTGTTAAATTTGGGACAACAATTTCACAAGCGCCAAGTACAATTTACAACAATATATAACTAATTAAATTCGATGTAAACAAAACTAATATAAGAGAATGTAAACACAATTGTTATAAATGTTTGTTACGCATTTGTTTTCTATCATTTGTTGCTTTTCGTTTCGTTTTTTCTAATTCCCTTTTTTTTTTTTTTTTGTAATTCAATTTAACTATTAGACTAATTAAATAGTGAAATAAACTTGTGTACCTATATTTAAATTTATATATATATATATATACATACATAATAATTTATAACTAAGTAGATCCATTTAAATGTTACGGACACGTGTGAACAGTTTTAGGGCAAAGCAAGTTAACTATCTACAGAATGCTAAATACTTGTACTATTTGTTAAATTGCCACAAAAAGAAATTAATAAATAATAACACAAAATAAACAACAAAATTGGCAATATTTTTCCGGGGGGTGGGGGTGGAGGTATAAACAATTCTATTTAGAGCAAACTGTGCCCGGGAACAGTTTCTGATTATATGCAAAAGATGTGGCAACTCTCACGTATTGCATGCAATCGATAAGCCGTTGCACTGATGCACTAACAAATCGATGAGTTATCGATGACCGATACAGTTATTGCATTTTGAAGCAATTTATTATGGACGCGCACGCATTTAACTAAATCACATTCAATTCGCATAGGAACGCTTCTTTAAGCCCAAATTAACGCCCGTGGCGGAGCGCAGCACAATTTTAATCGAAGGCTTCACATCGACGCCAAGCGGCAGCAGCTCAAAATGCCGCAACATCTTGATGACAATTGTCTTCAGCTCGAGCAGCGCAAAGCGCTGACCAATGCAATTGCGCGGACCAGCGCTGAAGGGTATATAGCTGGAGCAGGCTCTGGCGGCGCCAGTCTCGGCCGTTTTATGGCTGTCCAAATGCCGCTCCGGCCAGAAGCGCAACGGATCCTCGTACAGCTGCTCGTCGTGCAGCAGCTGCCAGAGCAGCACGATGACATTGGTGCCCGCGGGCACCACGTGTGCCCCAGCTGCCCCATCTGCTTCACCTGCTGGTGTGTGTGTCGCAATTAGTAAGCCAGTCGCAACATATTGTACTTACCCAAGATCAAATCGCTTTCCAGGCAACGGCCCACCGCCGGTATGGGCGGATACAGGCGCAGCGACTCCTTGATTACGCAGTGCAAATAGGGCAGATCCGCAAAGTCACCATAGATGACCGGACGATCCAGAGCCGGCCCATAGTGGGCATACAGCTCCTCGAACAGACGTCGCTGCACGGACGCATGCCGCGACAACAGAAACAGGCAGAAGGAGGCGGCTGACGTGGTCGTATCGTGGCCGGCAAAGATGAACGTGCTCACCTCATCGCGTATCTGTGCGTCTGTCAGCGGTGCGCCCTCGAGCCGTGCCTGCAGCAATGTATCCAATAGGGCAGACCGTTTGCCCAGCTGCTGCTCGTGCAGCAACAGCTGACGCCGCCGCCTGATGATGTCGTCGGTGAAGCTGTGCAGGCACTTGACGCCGTTCCACTGCTTGCGATGACCGCTGGGCCAGAGCAAGCGGAACAGCAGCGGCGGCAACAGATGCGGTCGCATGAAACGTGTCGCCAGTATGTTGGTCACGCTGCAAGCAGGCATGAAAACGAACAAATGTTAGGCTTGTGCTTGGCCAGAGGTTAACTAATTTGTACTCCTTGACAGCCTGGACGACCGGCGCATCCACATTCCGCTGCGCATCGACACTGACGCCCATCGCCGCCTCGCTGATGATGTCCAGCGCAGCCAGGCACATATACGGATATATGTTGAACGCCCGCGGCCGATTGCTGTCCGCGGCCAGCGGCTGCAGTCTGTCCACCAGCACATTGCACTGCCTGTCGAACACCTCGATGTACTGCTCCAGGATGCTAAAGTGAAATGTGGGCGTTATGATCTTGCGCATGGCATGCCAGCGATCGCCGCGACTGAGCAGCAAACCGTTGCCCAGCCAGCCGCCGAGGGCGCCATAAACGACGCTCTTACGCAGCTGCTGTTTGCTCAGGAGCAGGGCATCCGCATGCCTCGGCTCGGCGGTTACCAGCACCATGCGGCCGCATGTCGTGGCCACAAAGCTGCGCCCGTAACGCTTCACATATGCCGCAAACTTCTCGTGTAAATCTGCAATTTGACAACTACACATATGTTAGCCCAGCCTGATGGATATTGGATCAGCCATCAGCCATCAGCCAACTACTCACTATCCGGCTGAAAGTCACGCATCTGCCAGAGCGTGCCAATGAGCGGCACCTGGGACACATTGGGCGCCACGCCCTCCAGCTGTTGGCGGTGCCGGCGCTCCGTCCAAAACAGTTGCAACAGAAAGCGCAGCAAAAAAACTACCAAAGAAGTCACCAGCAATATGAGCAACATCTTTGTATACTCTGTAAAGCATAAGGGATTTAGCAAATCCATATAGAAAATTTGTATAATATTCTCTAATCTGTCTACTTGGTTGGCTTAAACACAATACATTTCTAGTAGAATCATAGAAGTTCGCCTATTCCTAATGTCTTAAGTTTATTTCCGTTGTTGCCAAACATATTCAATATTGTGCTGTTTTCCAACACTGCGTCGAGACTTGATTGCATACAAATTGTTATATTTGACCTCAGGATATTTCTATATTTCTACTTGGAATGTTTTCGCCTTACCGCGTTCCCAAATTGTACAAATCTTTCTATTAAATTTTTCAAGCGTAATTAAAAGTGCTTCAATTGAACGGAGCAGAGCTTATTCAAAAAGCGCGCACTTACCATTTTAACAAATCCATGTTAAATGAAAATACAAAAATTATATAAATTTTTGGCAAATAGATATGCAGTAATTTGCAACTATAACTATTCACGAACGAAATATGTATATGTGCAAACTGTTTTATAACAACGACGACAAGGTTTCTCTAATAGTCGACTCTCTAATACCCTGTAATATAGAATTGCAGCTTAACACAACTTAAGTGTAATAGCCTTGCTTAAGTGTAAAAGCTTACTTTATCGTTATTACGATATCAAAATTGGAACATATATGCATGAATTGAGTTCGAATGCGTTGAGCAGCATAAAGGTTAAGCACTGCAGCGATATATTGGCACGAGGCAGCATACAGGTTACGATATTGAAATCGATAGGCGATATGTGTACTCAATTTATATACATATATGGTCACACTGCTAAGCTGACTTCCAAAGTGTACTTAATATATATACATGTGTATATATATGGTCACACTGTCAATTTGCTAAGAGCCGAAAAAACTGAAACATATTAAAATGTTACAAAATCATTACACCCCGTGTAATGAAAGCAGCCAGGGTATATTAACATAGAGAACAAAACAGACGGAGATAGCAACAAAGTGAGACAGCAACAAAGTGAGACAGCAACAATAACAGTTGTTTGGCTCGCCAGCTGATGCCGAAAAAAAAACACAAATAGACGCGTTTATTGATTTTTGTTATTTGTTTTGCACGCAACAGCTGGCCAATTAAGTGCAAGCACGTGTACGATTAATGATGCTTGACTATTTAACCAGGCGTGGACGCAGGCCCAGATGCACGCGCAGGACATGACTCAGCATGGGCCGCGGCAGCAGCTCGAAACGCTGCAGCAGCCTGCAAATGGTGCACTTCATCTCGAGCATGGCGAACTTCTGGCCAATGCAGTTGCGCGGGCCCGCCGAGTAGGGCACATTGGCATATGGATGCAGCTGATGTGGCGGCCAAAGTGTCGTGTCCTGGAATTCGTGTGCATCCCTCAGCAGCGCAAAGATGCCCACAAAGAAATCGGCGCCGGCGGGAATGCGTTTGCCGCCTGCCAAGGTTGAGTATATATTATAAATTTGCTAGCCTTTGATGACATCACTTACGTATCTGCACATCCTCGCTAAAGGTGCGCGCTATGATGGGCACGGGCGGATACAGGCGCAACGCCTCCTTGATTACACACTCCAAATACTTGAGCTCGTTTAGATCATCTCATCAATCTCATCGATCAGGCGCTGCAGGCACGGCCGCATGGCGTGAGATCTCGTAGAGACAGAAGGATATGCCGCTTGTGGTTGTGTCATGGACCTCGAACATGAATGTGTCCACCTCTTCGCGTATATCTTCATCGCACAGCGGCGTTCCATTCAACGTGGTGGCCTGCAGCAGCACATCCAGCAGCGCCCAGCGACGCTTTTGACCCGGAACGTTGCCCTCCTGCTGCTGCTGCTGATCTTTGACGAGCGCCTCGAGTCGCTGCTTAATGATGCACTCGGTAAACTCGTGCATTATGCTGATCAGCGCATCCTGCTTCTTGGCCAGCGTTGGCTGCATCAAACGAAATATCCATTCAATGCGCTGCCATGGCTTTAAAAACCGGTGTCATGATGCTCGTTAACCTAAGAGTTGAAACAAGAAGGTGGACTCCAATTGCGGGGCACTGCATCCTCCCGAATACTCACTCATATACAGCCTGCACATATGGCATATGGCATATGACAGATACAGATACAGATACAGATACCGATATAGATACAGATTCAGATACAGATACAGATACCGATATAGATACAGATATAGATAGCCGAACTAACAGTTTGGCGGCATGTTGTATGCATTTTTATTGGAAAACAATTATGAACTAAATCCAAGCCCAGCTGTGGTATAAATGTCAATATAAAGATATATGTAATGTACAGGTAAATAAGGTATGAATACGGCTAAAACTAATCAATTTCCAGCGTCTTGAGGCTGTGCGTCAACGTGTTGCAGGCGCCGCTGCCGCTGTTGCTGCTGCTCGTGGCGCCCTTTTTGCACTTGTTGAGCTGCCAGTTGTCGGCATCCATTAAATATTCACTGAAAAAAAAAAGAAAACAATTTGAATAGAATACATTTATCCATATAAATATAATAAGGTAAACAAATACAATAAAAGTTGTTATTTACTTCTTTTACCCATCGACTTTTAATTTGTTCGAATGCCAATTGATAAATTGTTCTCAATCGATAATACCGATCCGTATAATGGAGGTAGCGGAGAGTTGACGATGTAAGAAACTTGATATATACTATAGCTACACTATTCTAGACTCTATGTTTCAAGTTTGGTGACTCTAGCTCTGAAAACTTACGAGATTTGCTAAAAAAGGATTTCGTTATCGATTTTTATCGATTTATTGGAAACAAGGCAATTTATCGATTATCGGAAACAAACTCATACTGCGTGGGCACTGTGAGGACCTCCATTCCAAGTCTCCAGCTCTTAAAGGTTCTGAGATCCTTGTGCTTCGGACAGACGGACATGGCTAGATCGACTCGGCTATTGATGCTGATCAAGAATGTATATATATTGTTTAGATGAGATGCTTCCTTTTTACCCATTTTTAATGGGTTTAGGGTATAAAAAGAGGGAATTTTCACCGGACAATTGGAGTTCCGTGTTCGAAGCAGTTCTGTTTGTGGCTTACCGGTGCTGTTGGAGCAGCTGCATCCACTGCTGCTTTAGGTGCGACATTTTGCCTGCACTGCCGCCGTACTCCTCCGGCAGCATGGCGCGAGGAAAGTGCTTGTATGGGGTATCCGCATTGGGCAGATGAAAATGTATGAGCTTGAAGACGTCGCTCTTGATGAACGGCTTGACCACGGTGAGCACTTTGTCCAGATACGTTGGACAGTTGAGCACATGAACTTCCTTGAGCCGCACCGGATGCGCCTCCTGAACGAACTTCATATAGACGCGCAGCGAACTGAGCACCGTCTTTGTCAGATGCCGCAGCGTATAGCCGGCCATATCGAAGATCGGTATCTCTCCGTCCGATAAACGGCCGTCTGTTTCCGTGGCGAAGCGGCAATCGGCGACCATAAAGAAGACCTTGATGCCGGCCGTAAAATTGAACTGACCGATTGGCAAGTGGCAAGTGGCAAGTTGAAAATTACAGTTAAGTTGGCTCAAATGGACTGGCACTTACCTTGTCCGCATCGTGGTCAATCAGGCGATAAAATAGCAGCTTGTTGTTCTCCGGCGTCAGGCCGGGCAGCGGCACCAGATCTCTGCAGCAACCAGAAACGACAATTAGCTTTAATTAGATGGTGCCGCAAAGTGCAAAAACCAGTTGTTGGGCGTGCCACAGAGATGAGCGCATCTCGTGTTCGCTGGTGCTCGTGAGCACGACCGTGTACGAGTCTATTCACAGCCTAACACGACTTGACACGAACTACAATTTCGTGTGGCTAAGCAACACGAAAATGCCAAACACGACCTGGCACGACATGACAAGCATAGAGTAAGTCCATAAAATGGGTGCAGAGCTAGTAACTCTCTAGTCTAGTAATTACGATCGATTCTTTCTATGGCAGCTATAGGATATAGTAGTTGGATGCTGAGCGCAGCCGAGCCTGAATACCGAATCGAAACTACGCAAATTTAATAAAGTACTGTGTTGCGTGTTGTGTTCTTAAAAGTCGTGCTTTCGTCGTGTCGTGTCGTGTGCTCAGGCAAATGCGACACGCGCTCATCTCTAGATTAGCGAACATGCACTTACGCGACTTGCAACAGCTGCTGGGAGCTGGCATCCATTGGATCACGATCGATGAAAATTTGCGGATGCTTGTTGCGCATGGCATAGTTGAGCTGCAGCAGACGCTGTGCGGCAGCCACATCGCCGCGCGTCGTGTGCAGAAATCGCCGCAGCAATGTGGACGCTAATAAATATCGCAATGCAGTTGCAGTTGCAGTTGCAGTTGAACGAGATGGTGGAGGGGGGAGAAATAAAAGGTGCAATTTAGTTGTGGTTAATGTGGTCGCCAGCCAGTTATGCAACTGGCTTCGTGCCGCAATTCAAGTTAGTTGACCCACAAAGAAATCAAGATAGCTCTAGTCGGCAGTGCCCGACTAGGAAATACCCTGCCCTAAGCCCTCATTGCATTAGAAATGCAAATTTGATAAGCCTCGGTGCCTATAGTCCGATCTTGAGGCAATTTTCAGGCTTTAAATATGATCATATGACAAGGATCTAGGAAATATAGGAGAGTAGATGTAGGAGAGTAGATGCTTCCCTCTGTCACATACATTTGCACAAAACCATTATACCCTATTGCCCACTTTCGTTGGGTATCATAACATATAGCTGACTAAAGTGCTAGTCCATTTAGTCAAGTGCTTACTTAATGCACGAATCTAAGCACAATTTAATTGCCAAATACCGTCTGGACAGAGCTTACGTAATGCTGGCAATCAAATACTTAAATGTGATTATGTTTTGATTATGGGTTACGGCTAGTTAGATTTCCACTTAGATTTCAAGAGTCGCGCTGGCTCTGACTGAGAATGGGCTACAATTTGCTGGGAACTGCCAGATAGAAAAGTACTTTAATATTACATGGAATGATTGTTTCGACTGAAGTCCAAAATTTTAAATTTAATATCTACTTTGATTGTCTCAAATTTGCTTGCATAATAATCTTTTTAATTATTTTCTCAAATGACTCCAATTAAAATCAAAAGATCAACAAACTCCTACAAACAAATTCCAGCCTAGATCTGGGCCCATTCTTAAGCCTAATATAATAGATAGGAGATAAACTTTTGTTCATAATTCTAGGTGGACAAGCTCCACTTAGCGCTTCATTAAGATCGTTGCTTCCCCTATTGATTTTAGCTGAGCTTTAAGTTTTTGCGTAGCACTAGAAAATATATGAATAAATATAGGCTAGAGTTTAGCTCAAACACATTTTTCACTTAGCACCTTTGTTTCCTCCATTGATATTCAATAATTACTCAGCCTTAGATGTGACCTTTAAGTTGAAACTATTTAAGAATAGTTTGTAATTAAGAACTAAACTTAAGTCGTTGCTTACAATTTTATAATTTATGAACTGAGCGTTACTTTGATCGGAACTTGGACTCTGTATGTATCAAGGCTGGTCTAGAACCGAACCGGTTCGAACCGTTAACCGATTTATCGATAATTTTGAAATAGCAGCCCTCATATTTACATATAGACAAACGCTTTCCCAAGCATTTCTGCGCTTCAATCTCTTTTGATTGTGGTCAAAAGGATCCCATAGAATGTTTCTTTTCTTTTAGCTGATTTGTTGTTGCTTATATTTGCACGAGTATTGACACACATCCTGTTACGTACAAATATTGTGGGGTAGCTGCGGCTGCGCCTTAATCAAATTTTGAAGCTCGGCCACACGCTGCGCCATCAGCTGTTCATTATCCTGTTTATGCACCATGCTGCTTCAGAACGAACTCAAAAAAAAAAAAAGAAGAAGAGAAGCCAAACGAACAAAGGAGCAGGAAAAGTGTGCCAAAGCTTCAGTCGGCGTCTCTCGAGCGGGAGAAAATAAAAAGCGCGTCTGTGCGACGCTAATTCGCGATTGCAACTGATTTGTGTGTGAAGTTTCTTGGCATGGCGTTGCCAGTGCTCGCAAAAAAAACAAAACAAAGTGGCCCAACGATAATTGTGTTGGAGCAGAGGGTGCGGGCAGCGGCAGCGGGCGTGCAGCTTGTAAGTTTGGCTTAAGGCATTGCACTCGCGCCGTACGACGACTCAAGATCTGTCGCCCGCCCTCTCCCGCTGATAGGCAGCTGCTCGGACCGGCTGCATGTGTGTGTGAGTGTGTGTGCATGTGTGCGTGTGAGAAACTGACGCAGCGGGATTGCAGACGGCTTGGCTGACTTTTCATGCAGAGCTTGTCCATTTTTTTTTGGTCCGTTGTGCTATTTACGTAACCTATTTGCAATTGTTTCATATGCCGGAAGGTCGAGTGTGTGGCTGTGCGTGCGTGTGTGTGTGTCTGTGTGTTCTATGAAGCGTACATGTGGCCATGCCCCTTTCGCATATGTATGCGTGCAGGGGCCGCATTTAACTTCTTTTATCCGCGTTGTTGTGTTTCACCTCTGCACGTTTCCAATACCCTATACAGTCGATGCACAAGGTATATTATGTCAGCATAGAGCACGCACAACAGGCTAGCCTGGATGCGCAGAGAAATTAAGACGCTCAGTCATCAAATTTATATTGATGCAGACGTCACGGCTAAAAACCAAATACTTTATGCAAATAAGAGTAATAATACAAAAGTTGGACTCACATATTGGTACAGGGTATGTGCTAGTCGAGTGTATGTCTTACATTTTATGCTTTTATGTAGTTGTCGGCGTTTTATCGCGACATTGGCAAACAATTTTCGTATGCGCTCCACTTGCTATGCCCGTCGCTGCTGCCCCTCCCTCCGCCCAACCGCTGACGCCTCGTCGGCTCTACGTGTTTCGCAAGTTAAACTATGCGACACAACAACAACAACACACAGACATCTTGTATTAAAAGTAAACTGTCAAATATTAAGAAGCAGCGCGGGGACAGAGAGACAGACACTGAAACAGAAACAGAAGCAGAAGACAAAACAACGATTGTCGAAAGCGACACTTTTGCAGAATGCGTGGTAAAAACTGGAACTACAACACGACACAGTACAGTTATCGGCGAAATGCAGAAGTGTGGATGCCCTTACGATACAGTTAATTCTGTTCGTAACAGAGAGAGAGAGAGAGAGAGAGCGCGTTAGTAGACAGCCAAGCAGCTTTACATACAAAAGCGTCAAGCCTTTAAGAGTGACGGTTCGTCTTGTTGTGAGAGTTTTAGAATTATTTGGGCTAATCAAAGTTCCCCTTTAACTTTGAGAGTATTTAATGTAATGTAAACTGTTCGGATTATTCCAAACAGTCAAAACTGAGACGGATTATTCACACTTGGTCTACATTTTCTTGTGATATAGGGTATTTCAGCTGAGAAGTTGGTTTGGGCATTTCCATAATTTTTAGCGTATTCGTATATTTAATGCAGTCATAAAATAGACGAGCGCCAGCTTAAAAAAAAAAAAACAAAAGACCCCGCACATGACACCAAGTAAAATGTTATGGCTGTTGCTTTTATTGAAAACTGTTTGACCTTGTCCAACACAAATACACACACACACACACACACGCACGCAAACATTGGTATTTGAAACTTTTGCATTACCAAAAAGTGCGCCAAAACAAAAAAGCCGCTCAAAATGTTGGCCACCATTTTGAATGCCAAGTCAAACAAGAGAGTGGAAAAACACGTTAGTTTAGAACCAGTGGCTAAAGTTTAACTACTTAGCAAGCATTAAAAAGATGTAAAAGTTGTAAAGTATTTTAAATATTTGCACTTCAAATTCAAGTGTTTTTTTGTTAACAAGTCTCAAGTGGGCGAATCAATGTGTTTGAAAATCTTCTTATTCAATAAGAAACAAGAACACATATATGCCCATAATCAATTGGTTTATCAAGCTTTTTTTTTAATTTGAAAAATTGCCTGCGTCATTATCGATCATTTCGGAACTTTACAACTCATTTGCAGGTTAAGTTTTCGCACATTAGTGTGTGTGTGTGTGTGTTTTGATTGTGCAAGACTTGCAACATTTTCTGGCGATTGTGCAGATGCCGCAACTGACCAAACAGTCAGCAAAATGCAACCTATTTGAATACTTGCGGCAATCACTTTACAATCACCACCATATTTGAATATGGCCCTTTTCAATATGGCTTTTATCAAGAACTAGAAGGCTGCTGGAGAGCAGTATTGGTAAAATGTAGAGCAATTTGAAACTTCAATCCAAATATCGCACTTGAGTCAGCCAAACATCCAGTCAACTTACTATTTTACTATTATATTTATTTAGAAATAGATATGCCCCAGATTACAAACAATGTTTGGTAAATAGGGCGCGCTAGTGTATTTGAAAATGAGGCTTATAGCAAGCAGCTATGGTACATGTGTTATAGCTACCAGTGTATTGTGTGTCAAAATGGTGCTGCCGCTGCTCAACACTGTGAACAGCCGTGAACTGTCATCAACTGTCAAGTACGCGCCATGTTTTAGCTCACGCACGCATTGCAGTGGAAAGAAGAAGCACGTGCCACAAAGTTAAGCAGGCAAAAAAGCAAACAAATTGCATTTGTTGCAAGATAAGCAAGAACAAAGCTGCTAACTGTGCCCATAGCAAAATTATAAACAAAACGAAGCCGGCGCCAACATTGGCTGTAGGTAATTATCGAGCCGCACAATAATAACAAACTGTTTGTAAAACGGCCACGAAAAAGAAGAAGCACGCCGCGCTACAATAACAGCGAGCGAGAGGGTGAAAAAAGAAAATTGCAACCAGTCGCAGCAGCAGCAGCAGCGCAGACTCTCTGCACGCACGAGAGCATTAACAGCGCTCTCCCCTCCCCCCGCCGGAGACCAAGTGATTGGCAATAACCAAAAAAACCGCGTGGTTGGCTTGTTTTTGTTTTCATTGTTGTTGTTGCCGCTAGGCAAATTGCATTTTATTTAAACGTAAAACGCGTGTGTTGTGCACTTGTGTCCGTCTTTTTTTGCAGAGTCAAACATTAAGGTTAGTTGAAAGCGTTAACAATAATCGCCATGGTGCCCATTGGAGCCGTGCACACTGGCCATCCCGGAGTTGTGCATCAGCAGCAGCCGCCGCAGCCAATGCCAACAGCGCCAAGTGGACCAAACACGCTGCAACCCAGCTCAGCGTCATCGACATCCTCGAACACAACATCGAACAAGAGTTCTATGTCGGTCAAGCCCAATTATACGCTGAAATTCACGCTTGCCGGGCACACCAAGGCCGTATCTGCGGTCAAGTTCAGCCCAAATGGCGAATGGCTTGCCAGCTCATGTGAGTTGCCTTTTTGAATGTTGTCAATCCCCAAGCAATTCATTTCAACAATCGTATTTTGCAGCTGCGGACAAACTCATAAAGATCTGGGGCGCATATGATGGCAAATTTGAGAAGACCATATCCGGCCATAAGCTGGGCATTAGCGATGTGGCCTGGTCTTCCGATTCGCGTCTGCTGGTCAGCGGCAGCGATGACAAAACACTTAAAGTCTGGGAGCTGAGCACCGGCAAGAGCCTGAAAACGCTTAAGGGCCACAGCAATTATGTGTTCTGCTGTAATTTTAATCCGCAATCCAATTTGATTGTATCGGGCAGCTTTGATGAGAGCGTACGCATCTGGGACGTGCGCACCGGCAAATGCTTGAAAACTCTACCCGCCCATTCGGATCCCGTTTCGGCGGTGCATTTCAATCGTGATGGTTCATTGATTGTTAGCTCCAGCTATGATGGTCTATGCCGCATTTGGGACACGGCTAGCGGACAGTGCCTGAAGACGCTGATCGATGACGACAATCCGCCCGTTAGCTTTGTTAAATTCTCGCCCAACGGCAAATACATACTGGCAGCCACATTGGACAATACACTGAAACTGTGGGACTACTCCAAGGGTAAATGCCTCAAGACCTACACGGGCCACAAGAACGAAAAGTATTGCATATTTGCCAACTTCTCCGTTACCGGCGGCAAGGTACATCCAATTTGATTTACGCTGAGCACAAATCCTAAATTTAGCATTTCATTTTTTCTGCTTTTCTTGCTCTGGCACAGTGGATTGTCAGCGGCAGCGAGGACAACATGGTTTACATATGGAATCTACAAAGCAAAGAGGTTGTACAAAAGCTGCAGGGACACACGGACACTGTGCTCTGCACCGCCTGCCATCCCACAGAAAATATAATAGCTTCTGCTGCGCTGGAAAATGACAAGACCATAAAGCTGTGGAAGTCGGACACATAGAGCTGGTTGCCATCGCATTGTGCAACAACGACAAACCACACACACACACACACAAAATCACACACACACACACATTTCTTTAATAATCTTATTTTAAAAACCAATTACGTTTAATTAACCTTTTTTTTTTAATTGATTAAAACAAAAAAAGTACTCGTAAAACATTATTCAGGCTCGCAGCACTAGCAAAAAGAAACATTCTAAGTTACAATTGCAAAACAATTGCAGTTGTGTATATTTAAATATTTATTAGCTAATGTATTGGCCAGTAAAAGAAACATACTGAAAATCCTTCAATTTTTATACCTTTTACCACAATTGAAAACTAAATTTAAGCAATAATCGACACACACAACTCACACACATAAAAAATCAACAAGAGCAAGCGTGCAAGTGAATGTAAATTTAAAATAAAACAAAAAATAATCATAATTTTAGTTTTTGTGTATGATCTGTTAGAAACCTTACCAACTGAGCAACTTTTCATTTCTTAAAACGTATTCTATTATTAATATTCCTTGTTTAGGGGACATTTGTGCTTAGGAAATTAAGAAAATCTTTGGAAATCCCCAAAATATGTTTTTGTTCTGTTTATTATTTTGAAGAATGCATGACAAATTCATGTTGACTACGAACAGTTCTGGTTTTGTATATGTCTATAAAGTTATATCTTATGTATGTATTAAGTATCTAATATCTTGATAAACAAAAAGAATATATTATGTTAATTGAATGAATGACCAAAACAATTTTATTTATTTCGATTTTATGCACAATTAAATACAATTAAAACAATCTATGCATGAAAATGGCGACACTTAATACAATTAAAAAAGTTTGTATTAAAACAATTACAATATTTACTTTTTATTTGAAACAAGTTTAACTGTGCCAGTGCTGTAAAATGTGCAATGCCCAGTGTCGATGTTGCCAGTGCGATACCTTCGATAACACAACCGATAACTCGTGCTGCACTAGCTACCATCGCCAATGAATAATTTGGTTTAAGTGCATTTGGCATTCAATATATCCCGTGTTTTGTGTTGTTTTTCCCACGTTTCAATCAATATGGTAAGTTGGGCAAAATTGTTGCTGCTTTAACGACACGTTCATAGTTTATAGTGTGTTTATTCTTGCTATTTTTGCAATTACAGGCAGCTTACACCGAGGATCAGTTGGCTGGTGAGTGTGCGTGCGTGTGTGTGTGTGTGTGTGTGTGTGTGCGCGCGAGTGTGGCATGGGCATTAGTGTGCGTCTGTGTAAGTGGGTGTTGGTTTTGAAATGGGCGCAGAAGTTCAAAGTGCCAACTCAAAGCTTGGCCAGCAGCGAAAATGGCAAAAAAAACGCAAGAACAAAAGAACAGAAGCAACACACAAGTATTTGTGTAGACGTTGTCAACATTTGCATGCCTCCGCTTTGTGTCTGTCGTGTGCGTGTGTGTGTGTGTGCGTGTGTGTTACACATCTTCATATGTGCGGCATGAATCATTGATAAAATAAAACACACACAAAGCGGCAACGGGGCCAACGAAAGCAGCCATACGATCGCGTCAATGACTCACAAAGCGAACGTGCAAAGCAACAGCGATTTACAGTTAGGTCGCCCGCAAACAGCTTGAAGGATGCGTCCGACTGACTCACTGACTGGTCCAGGACAACGGGCGCGAACTGTCGCTAGCTCGTCTCAGCGTCGACTGCAACAGCTGCAGTCGCTTGCATTGAACAGCAGCCGAAAAAAAACAAGGGGAGGCAAAAACATAAACAGAAACAAATACTTTTGGCCATATCCATGTTGGCCAACAACCGACAACCGACGGCTGCCATTTAAGGCGGCTTTTGTGGGTCAACATTGGCGCATGGCCCTGGGCCCATCCCTCCCCCTTCCAATCGCCAAGTGTCGCCCGGCTGTATGACATTGCGAATCTCTTTACGCAACTCGCTGGAAATGTTCAATTTTTGCTATTCTGATAACTTAATCAAAGCCTATTCAATTGCTTGTCGCCTGTCGATAAGTCGCTGCCGCTGCCGCTGCTGCTGCTGCTGCTGCTGCTGCAGTGACGTCAGCTGACCGCATTTGTACGTATTGATTTACCTGAACGAACGCACGACGACGCCTGCAGCACGTTCCAGCTGCTCAGTTTTTACCTTAAATGGACAAAATGCTGTGTTGTTGTTTTTGATTTTGGCCATTTTTGGCCAGTTGCAAGCGTGTTAACAACAACAACAACAGCAAAACTGGCAAGAACAGCTTCAGAATGCCGACGGGCAAATGCACTTCCATCGGGCAGAAGAACACAAAGTATTGTCAACTGTTTGTTGATGCATAAAATAGAAGTTGAATCTTAGCTCAAGTAGTCAGCTCAGTTTTCAAGCGATTGTCAGCTCTATGAGATCAAGAAATATGCATTAATATGCATTCTCACTATATATTTGCCTTTGCATTATTTGGGAAAATCAAATGAATCCAAGAGCTGATCAAGTTTGCCAAGGCGCAGAGAATCTGTTATATGGAAAGACGAATCAACTGACGTAGTATATATATATCTGACAGTTAAATATATATTTAGATAGAGGCTGCATTTAATGACACAATTAATGAGAATATTATAATGCCCACTGCAAGGGTATATTGTCAACGGCAGCTGCTGCTGCCGCATGTTGTGCAATCTGTTGCAGCATCGCACCAAGTGACTCAGTAGCAGGCGGTGCAGCCAGGCAAACGGTTGGGATTCAATATAATCATCATGTATTATTACACGGCACACGTAAAGCCAACATTCACCACGCTCGAAGGTTGTAATTCGATTGTATTGCGATCAATAACTAAACTATGATTCAATTTGATATCTTTGCAGAGTTCCAGGAGGCGTTCAATCTGTTTGACAACCGCGGCGATGGCAAGATACAGCTGAGCCAGGTGGGCGAGTGCCTGCGGGCACTGGGCCAGAATCCCACCGAGTCGGATGTGAAGAAGTGCACGCATCAGCTGAAGCCCGATGAGCGTATCTCGTTTGAGGTCTTTCTGCCCATCTATCAGGCCATATCGAAGGCGCGCTCCGGCGATACGGCCGATGATTTCATTGAGGGATTGCGTCATTTCGATAAGGATGCCAGCGGCTATATATCATCCGCTGAGCTGCGCCACTTGTTGACCACGCTGGGCGAGAAGCTAACCGACGAGGAGGTGGAACAGCTGCTGGCCAACATGGAGGATCAGCAGGGCAACATCAACTACGAGGAGTTCGTGCGCATGGTCATGAGCGGCTAAGCCCCAAAGCAGGGCTATCAAAACGGAGCAGCAGCAGCAGCAACAACAACAACAGTAACAATAACACACACCTGCCATGTTAGCTAGCCTAGCCGAGTTCATTCCGCCAAAACTTAACTCCCAAGATTCCAAGATTCCACTTTTAATTCACGCTTAGCCATCAATTTGTATCTTTTGTATATTCTTGCATTTCGGGGCAAATAGAATTGATTCCAACTAAATACAACTAGACGCACCTTAAGCGCGACTAAGCCCATGACTAAGACACACACATCCACACACACACACATACACACAACATTAAACCGTTGTTTAATGCAGGGTAATGCACATCCTCGGAGAGGTCGCATCGTTAACATTGCGTATTATTCTAAATGTATCGAGTTTATAATCCAACAGATTTTTATATACTACATACCCATAATGGAACTCAACGTCTTCAACGAGTATCGTAACAAGTATTTCTTAATTAATGATTTGATATATATGCGAGGGTAGCGTATAATTGAACTTTAATGCGCATTTCAAAGTTTTACATGTTTTTTTTTTTTATTTGAATAATTTAATAATATATTTAATAATTGAAACGAATGAAAGTAGATCTTTTTACAAAAGAAACGTACTTACAGTTATTAAAAAAACATATGAAACTTACAATATTTTGTGTTTTCTTTAACTTAACTAAAGTTCGAATAAATCCTTAAACAAAACGAAATTCAAGTTGAAACCGTCCACAAAAACCTGGAAGTAATGTAGCAACGAGCTTATTGTCGGGGCTACTCAAATTGTCAGTGCTCCAAAGACAAAAGAGAATTGGCAAACATTTTGAATTTCAACTGTGGTATTTCAACAAATCGAATGTAGTTTTTGTTTACTCAGCGAAATAGAATACAAATTTGCTACGTTAGCTAAATGTTTTATGTATATATAATAAATTTGATTGATTGCAATTAAGGTGTGGCGCCCAAGGCGATCCATCAATGTCGGCCAGTATTGTTATGGTATTTTATTTATTTTTGGTATTTTCTCTGTCGCTATCTGACGGTCACACTGCTCAAGCCACAGTATAGAAATAAACAAAAGCAAAAATGTTACATTTAATTTAAGCTTTAAGCATTTTGTACAGTGCTAAACTGCATTCCTTAATTAGCGCCTAGCGTTCTATTTAGTTGCGCTTTGTTTTTGCAATGTCGAAAGCTGCGGGCGTAGTCGCCACATTGCCAGGTGGCGGCGAACCAAGTTCGCCAGTGCAAAAGGTCTGGAAGCCAGAATGTGAGTAATATGCAATGAGTGTGTTGCACGCAAAGTAGTTATCGACTGATTCTTACAGTGTATAGAATACAATTGGACGCACCGGCACCGCATCCTGTGCGCTGTCAGCGCACGTTGCCACTACCGCCGGCCAAGAGCACCGCGGACGCCGTTGAGGAGAACAATCAGGCGGTGCGTTTGTACGGAACGGAATACCATGGCGTGATGGGTCACCTGGAGGCCGAGCAGCTGCTGGCCAATGCCAGCGATGGCAGCTATCTGGTGCGACGCAGTCCCAAAACGGATGGCTACCATACGCTGAGCGTGCGCTTTAATAAGCGCACCAAACACTACAAGGTCTTCTACAAGCCGGGCGATGGGCATTATCTGCGCGAGCAGGACAAACACTATGAGACGGTGCACGAAATGGTCGCCGATGGGCTAATCAACTTTCACATGCAGCTGCACGCCAGCCCCATCATACAGCAGATTAATCAGCAAACCAAAAACTGCTACCAGCAGAGCCCCTACATGACGCTGAATCGCCGCAAGCTGCGCGCGCTCTCCAATGAGCTGGGCAAAATGGCTGGTGCGGGCAAAACAGATGCTTGTGACGGGTCTGCTGCGTCAACGGATGCGACTGCGGCTGCAGCGCCCTCCCAGGACAGCCAAATCTGCCAGCACTTGCCGCCACAACAGCAGCAGCAGCCGCAACAAGCTGCCGCCGATCCCATGCCTCTTGTGTATGAGAAGCCGCACAATTTTAAGGTGCACACCTTCAAGGGGCTCAACTGGTGTGAGTTTTGCGCCAACTTTCTGTGGGGCTTCACTGCGCAGGGCGTCAAATGTGATGCCTGCGGCTTTATGGCGCACAACAAGTGCTCCGAGCTGGTGCCGCCGAAATGTGTGCCAGATTTGAAGTGCATCCGTGGCGTCTTTGGCACCGATCTGACCACCATGGTGCAGCTGCATCAATGCAATATACCATTTGTGGTCCGTCGCTGCGTCGAGGAGGTGGAGGCACGCGGCATGCTCCAGGAGGGCATCTATCGTGTCTCTGGATTTGCCGATGAGATCGATGCCCTTAAGCTGGCGCTCGATCGCGACGGCGACAAGACTGACATGTCCGAGGCGGCCTATGGCAATGTCAATGTAATTGCGGGCACACTTAAGCTCTATCTGCGCCTGCTGCCCGTGCCGCTGATCACGTTCCAGGCGTATCCCAGCTTTATGGCTGCCGGCCGTAAGTAGTCCGACCCCGCATGGGTTCACCTCAGCTAATTTGATTTCTTTGCAGGCAATGCGATGCCAACGGAGCAGCTGCAGCTAATGGCGGAGGCCGTGCGTCGCCTGCCGCCGGCCCACTACAGTTGCCTGCAGTATATGCTGGAGCATCTCAAGCGGTGAGTCCGTGTGCGCACCCAGACCTGCCCGGTCTGTGCAGAGTACTATTTGAAAGTTCTTTTATTTTGGCTATTTACAGCGTCGCCTCGCATTATGCGGTCAACAAAATGAATGAGCACAATCTAGCCACTGTGTTTGCGCCCACGCTGATTGCCACGCCCCAGCACATGACGAATCTCACGGAGGAGATATTCATGCTCTCCTCGTTGATAACCCACTGCGAGACCATCTTTGCCAGCTCCAAGCAATAACAATGCCCAGCGTGCGATGGAGAGCGAGCGAGCGAGAGAGCGTGTGCATCTCCCTCTGTCCCTCTCTGTCTCTCACTCTCTCTCTCTTTCTGTTTCGTTATTTTATCACTGTCTACGTTTCTACGCACTTCTTGCAATCCTTAATTAGTTTATACATTTTAGCCAAGCATTTATTTATTTATTAAAACATTTTGCCGCATCTTCGATGCATTCACCAAAAATCTAGAATTTAGGATATTGAAATGAAATTTTTTGTATTTATTAATACTATTAGAATTGTAATGCAAAACGATTATCGATTATCAACAGCAACATCGAGCCTTCCACATACCATATTTATATATATTTATATAGAGCATACCAAACGATACTTTTATATACTTTTACCTTGTTTACTTTTTTTTTCTCTCAAATTTTTCACATAATTTCATTTTGAATTGCCTTTTACGAGTTAAGGTTAACGTACGAATTTACCTAGAATTTTTTGGAAAGATTTTTGAAATGTGTTTAGCATGAATCGATATGATAAATAAAGATATTTATTTAAATTACCAGCATCTGATTATTGTTTTTTTTTTTTTATTTTTTACTGCGGAAATGTGAAGCGTAAGTATTTCTGGACTATACAAGATTGGGTTCTTGATGAACTTAGGAGTTTTTAGAGCGATCTCTGTGAAAGTTGTAGGGCTTAAATATGGCATAGAATAGAGTGTATATGCCAAAGTACAAGGCGTTATCTTGATGAAGGATCAAGGATTTCTTGCAAGTTATATTCTGGGCAAGAGGGTGGAGTATTTCTAAGACGAAAGTCTAGGTTGCGCCTGGTGTAAATCCTTCTTATATATTCGAATCAGCTTTGCAGATTGAGTGTTTCAATTAGCGAGCGAGCACTGTACTTAAATGCTGTGAATGTTATGCGAAAATTGATCGCATAGGCTTAGCTGCTTGGATCACAAATGTGTAAAGCTAAGCAGCTGAGTTCAGCTCTCTCAGACTTTGATTTATTTACGTCAAAATTTTGATTTTCTCATAAAAATTTGAAAGTAGAGAGTTTTAAGAAACCAAAAACATAACGGCAAACGCGATAAAATAATAATTAAAAAAAAATCAAAGAAAAAAACAAAAAAAGAATTAAAAAACAAATAGGCAAAAAAAGTGTATAAAATTTGTAGAAAATGAACGGAACGGTCAATGAGGAAGAGGGCATCTACAAGGTGAGCCATTTCTGGACATGTGCCGAGCTGCTGCCAGCGCTGCCCCATGTGATAAAGCTGAGGGAGATCTTTCAATTGTTTGTGCGGCCGCTGGGCAGCAATGCGCTGGACATACTGAAGGTATCCGAATGCCTGCGCGCCATGGGCGTCCACTTCAAGGAGTCCAAATTGAAGGCGTGTCTGGTGCAGCGCCTGCTGCAGTTTCCCCGGGTGAAGCCGCCGACGCGCGTCAGTTTCGAGCTGGTGCTGAGCATCTACTGTGAGCTGGCCAAGCTGGACAATATGCCCAGTGCGGCGATGATGATCAACGGATTGCGCTGCTGCGATCTGAACGGTACGGGCAAGCTGCCGTATGAACAATTGCGACGAATGCTGACAACGGTAGGCGAACGGCTGAACGAGGCGGAGGCATCCGCACTGTTGGACACCATGAAGGATGACAGCGGCAATGTCAACTATGTGGCGCTGATGGAGAATCTGTTCTGCACGGACGGCGAGGCCGCCGCCAAGCTGCAGCAGTCGCGCATTTATCTGGAGGCGCTCGGCAAGAATGCCTGCCACATGGACATGCAGAAGCGGGATGCGTTCATCAAGGCGCTGCGCAGTCTGGACTTCACCAATACCGGCTACGTTCCGCACGAACGGATGCTGGACCTGCTCAATCGGACCGGAGACAGTTTCAGCAGCGCCGAGCTGGTCACCCTTACGCGCGGCATGACGAATTCAAAGAAGCAAATCGATTATCGCCGTTTTCTGCGCCTCATCATGAACGAGTGAATGTTTAATTTTTATTTGGCGAACTATTAGATGCGTGTTCTAGAAATCAATTTGGCAAACCCATTATTTGTTATCAGTTAATATCAAGGCAAAATGTACAGTCCAAATTCTCTGCAGCGAAAGCGCCAATAAGGTGTCCACGCAAAACTTCGGTTTTGCACCAATTCGTAAATTAAAGAGAATACTGCAATATTTAAATCGCATATTAACGATCGGTTTTACAGATCTTTAGCTCTGCTTGAATTCAGGAGAATCATCCAGTTTCGGCCAGCATCCAGCAGGATTGTAGATCTGTCAAGAGAGAACATCCATTTAACCGTTAGAAAAGATTTACTTAAATTCGATAGAAAAACTCAATCGAAGTCTGTTTATCGAAACTTAGCAAATTCTTATCGAAGTCAAATTTGCTGACTGCTACGACACGCAGCAGAGCGCACAGCGCCATCTAGGTCTCAATAAGCCAACGTATAACAGTTGAAAGAGCAGCACTAACACTTTCTAAAGTCTGGCAGCGCTTGGCCTAACGGCTTTTTATGCCAGCAGTTAGTTTATTCGATTAGCATATAAACAAAAACAAAATATATATAGAAAACATAATTGAAATATGGCGAAGAGACCGAAGGTTGATATGTTGATTATGCGTTTTATTAAAAATATTACATTCTTGACACTCAGCTGCCATAATATCATGTCATATTGGATTACACAAGATCGCTGGCGTCCCCAGATGAAGACATTAATTAATTGGTTGCAATTTTGATTACTAGCACGACAATAAATAGTTTAAATCTATGCAAAAAAAATACTAAATATATATATATATGTATATATTTGGATTGTGTGCTTCTCTATATAGCTAAAAATACAACTGTTCTTGCAGCAGTTAGTTTGGCATATGATAGCTGTCTGGCAACGCTGCCTGGCGTCAGACATCCTCGCTGGAGGCGTGGCTGCCGCCGCCGGAAGTCAGCTCCATTTTGATGGGCGCTGCCGTTGCCACCGTCTGTTGCAGCTGCAGCATTTGATAAGCGCTGCTGCTGCTGCTGCTGCTGATGTTGTTGTTGTTGTTGTTGTTGTGACGCTCCTCGCTTTTAAGCATATCACACTGGGCATGCGCCTGTGCCTGCGCCTGAGCCTGAGCCTGGGCCTGGGCCTGTGCCGCAAAGCTGCGCACCTGCAGAAAGAGGCCGCCATTGTTGAGGAGTCGCGCCTGATGCTCCTGCGCCTTGGCGCGCAGACAGGCTATCGAATTGTTCCTGCAACATGAGAGAACACATTAGCATATCGGTTATGCCCGACTGCGCAATACTCTTTCGCAGTCCAACTAGAGCTGGCAACCGTCAAATTCATAAGCAGATGTTGATCGATTGCTATGTTTTCGATTCATCGAATATTTATCGAATACTTTAAGATCCATTTTTAGAAGATGTGGATTTGATTTTTTTAAGTTGAGCTTTCCTAAGTTGATCTATAAGAAGGAACAGCTTGTCGAACCTCATCCAAAATTTGGGGCATCCAAACTGTAGTTGATATCGAATATGTCTCCAGGTTTTGTCTCCAGGTTTTCAACCTAAACGATTTGAGTGCAGAACTGCAAAGCCTAAACCAAAAACCCACTGAACTAAAGCCCGAAACGAATCTTATTGCGTTCATTTTCATAATATCGATAAATATCGATTTTGTTGAGACCTGTTATTAGAGCTCTTCGAAAATGCCTTCAGTCTGTCTGTTTGGAAGTTCGATCTCGGAAACTACAAGGGCCAGGGACTAAAGATTTTATAAAACTACTTAATCCTTTTATTCGATATCTTATTTAATGTTCACAATATCGATAAATATCGATAAATTTTACATGCAGTAAGCTTGTCGTGTGGACTATGGAAGAGTATAAACAGTTCAAGAATACTTCATTTAACGGGCATCTAAAACGAAGTTTAAGTCCACAAAGTTTCACAAATATCGGACTATAAGTGCCGAAGTTAATACAGGCTACATTTCCATACATAGTATGAGCCTGACGAGAGAAGAAGCACAGCTTTGTGTATGTGTGTCCGCTTAAAAGAAACATGCGAACGGACAGACGAACAGCAAGAGAACGGATATACTCCTTTCAGCTGGCGAAGGGCAACTGAGTTGGAGAGCTTGAAGCTTACCTAAACGCATCCGGATCGTGCTCCATGAGCGCGGCAGCTGCCGCTGCGGCAGACAGATGATGCGCATGCAGTGCGGGATGTGGCAAGGCGGTCGGCGCCGACTGATGCTGCTGCTGCTGGTGCTGCTGCTGCTGCTGCTGTTGGTGGTGTTGGTGCTGAGCAGCTGCAGCAGCCGCCGCGACGGCCGTGTTCATAATCATATGGAAATCCTTGCTGGAGGCGGCGGCGCCGGCGCCCGCTGCATTTGCCGCATCCAGCAGCGGATGATAGCTGGGCGTGGCCACAGAGTAGAGCTGTGTTGCTGGCGGCGGCGGCGCCGGCTGCTGCTGCTGCTGCTGTTGCTGTTGGAGCAACTGCGTCTGCTGCGGCGAGGGCGAGCTGAGCTCAATGTGCGGCGAGCCGGAGCTGTTGGTGGTGGCGCCCGTCGGCGTTGTGGCCGCCGATGAGGCAGCCGCATAGCCGCTGCTGCCGTGCGGCGTTGTTGATGTCGGCGGCGCGGTTGAAGCGTTTGTCGGACAGCTGCTCGGCGCCGGGCTGACCACGTTCAAAGATTCCGTCGAGGAGCTGAGCGCGCGCGAATGCGAGCGCAGCTCATCCGAATGCGCTGACTTTGAGCCGGCCGAATCCTCGTGATCGCTGACTCCGGAGTCGTCCTTGAGCGCGGATTGTGCCTCAATCGATTTGCGATGCATGCCTGCGAGGGGCAGTAGAAAGAAAGAGAGAGAGACAGAGAGAGAGAAAGAGAGAGAGAGAGAGAGAGAGCTTTTTAGCATTTCCTTGACTCTATCTATATACGTGTGCTTCGGTGAGAATGAGTGGGGCGTGGATTGGACAGCTAATGACATTAGCTTAAAGTGGCAGCGATTCCTTTTACTAAAGCTCAACTACTAGAGCTCAGCTTGAAGCTTAACCTAGCTTAAAAGGGTAGCGAGATTTTCTGAAAGCGCGATTCCTAAAGAATACCAAACTATTTTCCATTTATTTGAGTACAATATTTCAAAAGGAAATCGTAAAGCTCAATCTGGCATTAATAACTCAAACGGAAATCTTAAATCTTTCGATTAATCAAAGAACTTTGTAGTCAATGCAATTCAATTTAAGCTTTCAATTAATCTAAAAATATATCTGAATTTTTCTTAGCTGCCTTGTGAAACATATCTTAAATGTACTTTAAACATTTTTTCAAGTAGTATTAAGTCTAACGTAATTTGATTGTGTACACTTAATTCGAAAGTTTAGGGAATTGGTTTAAGCAAAACAATATAAACAGTTTGGCCTTAAAGCTTTAAGTTCAAATCTTAAAGCTCCTCGAACTGGTTACAATTTGGAACAAGTCGGCCCTCTCTTTGACCCCGTTAAACAGAAAGAGCTTTAAGTGTATGCAACAAAGCTCGCCCAAAGCTTTAAGCTTGCCACACTGATTAAAACCGAAAAACTTTAACGCTCTGGCTATATTCATCTAAAGCTTGCAGCTCGGATCAGAATGGGGTTTAAACTGACGTGAGTTAACAGATGGTTCAAACCTATCACAACTCGCTTAAGCAGCATATGCATAAGGACTGCCATGCCCGAAACTAATCCCCAATGGTATACCAAGTCATAACTCGATGAAAATTACGCTCGCAAACTGAATGGCAGATAACATTTTGAGCATTATTAACTGGTTGGCCACGCATCAATTGCCAACTAACTTGACATTCACATACTTAATTAAAAAAAAAAAAAAATGGAAATGGAAACGAATATTGAATAGATGAAAAATGCCCGGTGCCAACCTCAAAGCTGAGCCGTTAAGCCACTTAAGCGGCACGGCCCTGGTGCTACTTGGGAATTAATTTGCGAAACACCCAAAGCATTATGTCCGCTGAGGGTGGCAGGGTGCCAGGGGGGGTTGGTTGGAGTGGGAGGGGGAGGGGGAGGGATGGCAATGGCACAAGTGCCAATAAAACCTGCAAAACATTTCTAACAATGCGCCTAGATAAACGATAAATGCCAAATTAAAGCAGTAACTGCAACCCCTGCCCCTTAACCCCCCTCCCTCGTATCCCTAGCTAAGCTCACCCTTCGCCCTGGCATTTTGTGTGTGTGTGTGCATTTTGCATTTATTAAGCGATTATTAACAAATAAAAGTCAAAAGCAACCCCCGAGAGTTAACCAAAGCACTTGTCAATTGCCGTGTGGCATAAGGGGCAGATGCCAACCCCCCCCTGCACCCCTCCCCGCCGCCCATAACCCTGCCCTGGCAGTGCGCCTCGCTAATCCGCAAAGTCATTTGAGGCAAGGGCCAAGGAAATGTGCGCAACATATGACGACAAAAAGCACAGGACTGCCGATTGAGCCAAAGATGCGACCCGTCCATTGCGACATGCACGCCAAATATGCTCACAATTTGGACAGGATATCCAGAGTTATATATCTATATACGTTTGTGTGTGTGTGTGTGTGTGTGTGTGTGTATATCATTTTATAATCCCCGAGCTGCGGCTCTTTGTCTCGCTGAAAATTCAATTAAAGCTGCCTCAATTCAATGCGACTTACGTACTGTAAAGGGGGACGGGGCTCGAGAGGGGCAGGAGCTCTTGCCTGGGATAAGTTCTGGCCTGGTTTTCTTTTCTTTTTGGCTTTGGGGCGTTTCGCGCGCGTGTATGTGTGTGTGTGTGTGTGTGTGTGTGTGTGTGGCATAGTTGATAGTTTGCGATATGATTGTTGCATTTACATTTCTGTTCCATACCTAGTAGCCAGGGTGCCACCGCATCGTTGTCCTTGGCCGACTTGAGTATCGTCTCCGGCAGCGGCAGCGAGTGCCTCACCATGGCCCCGTATAGTCCATATTCGGCCATGATGGTGCTGCCGCCCCAGACCTTTTCGGTCTTGCGCCATTTGGCCCGTCGATTCTGGAACCAGACCTGCAAATAAACAAAAGAACAACCAATTTTTTTTTTACCAGTTCAAGTGCATTTGGTTACGACTGTAAATCGGGTTTACAATTCTGCATTTTATTTAACGTAAACCGAATCCTAGTTGGCTCAAAAAAAAAAAAGTAGCTACGATTTATGCTCGTAATTGCTGGGTTTGTTGACGTTATTCGCATTTAAAAAAGTTTTCCATATAAAAACGCATTTTTTCGAACGTTTTCTTCTACTGAGTTATATAATATGTGATAGCCTTTGTTCATAGGTTAAGAGCATGGCAAAGCCCGGCCAAGTGCCACAATCAAATCAAATGGAACGAAACGAAGCTGAGTGGATTGAAACGAAATGGAAATGGAACGAGATTAAAATGGAGTAATGCGTTTTCAAAATAAAAGATAAGATAGGAGCTTGCTCAGAGCATGGCAAAACCCTACAATCAAACAAAATGGAACGTAACAAATGGGAATGGAACGAAGTGGAAAATGGAAAAAAGGCATTCTTCGAACGATTCTACCAATTTAGCTACATACTATATAATACGATTTTGGACATAGGCAAGGAGCATAAAAAACCTGGCTAATTGGCACAATCAAGCCAAATGGAACGAAACGATTGTGAGTGGAATGGAACGAAATGGAACTGGAACGTAATTTAAATGGAGTAAAGCGTTTTCCAAAGATTCTTCCCAACGAGCTATATAATATTTGATAAGATTTTGCTCAAAGCATGACAAAACACGGCCAAGTGTCACAATCAAACGAAATGGAACGAAAGTGGAATGACCGAAATGGGAATGGAACGAAGTGGAATGGAACGAAGTGGAAAATGAAAACACGAACTTTTCCAAAATCTCTGCCCATTCGGGACTCTGCGATGCACAGAAACGGGCCAAGATGGACATACGATTTTTGCAGCTTGATTTCTTTGCGTCTTTAATGGAATGCCTGGCATAGCTGGATGGAGACGCCATATGGCGCAGGCTACGCACTGCCACATTAGATCCTTGGACCCGTTGGTCATTGGCCGTTTGGGGGCGCCTCCGAATGCGGCAGCTGCTGGCGCTGTAAATGTGATGCAAATTGCGAATTATTAAATAAAAAACTCGTTGAAATTGAAAAAATGTAAATGGAATGTATTCGAAATGCTAATACACTCGGACCGGACCGTAAAGGCTTTTAGCACCCGCATGAAAGACGCTGCCAAAGCGGCCGATGACAGCACGAGACGGAGAGAGAGAGAGTGAGAGAGAGAGAGGGAGGGGGGGGGAGAGAGGGAGTCTCTTTCGCTCTGTGTTCACACATAATAGCAAATAATATACATATTCGCATATAAGTGACCAAATTAGATTATCTTCCAAAACATTAAACCGATTTTCATGCAACATGCGGCAGCAGCAACAACAACAACAACAACAACAACAACAACAACAACAACAACAATAACAATAACAATAACAACAGCAATGTGTGACAATAATAAGAAAACATTAAATGTTGATCACAAAAGCAGCAGCAGCAGCAGCAACAACAACAACAACTGTCACAATAAAAGGATTTGCCACACGAAAAGGATGAGCCAGGACGAGAGTCACTGAACGAACCACTCTATATGCATAGCGGCGGGGCAAAGTCAAAGCAAAGGATTTAACTTTGAGTTAGCAACCCTCGCACACACACACACACACACACACACACACACACTGGCAGACAGCAAGGACCTCGTCCACCCCAGAGCGAGAACTGTCTGTCGAAGGACCAAAAAAGAAGTCATCATTTTTCTGGTCCATCAAATCGTTTAGTTCTGCTATTAGTCATGTGCGAGAGACACAGGCACCACTCTTTAGTGCGACAGCTGTAAAGGCGCTAGTGGATGGGGCAGTGCCAGGGGCAGGGGCGGTGGCTGCCTGGGGGGGGGGAGGGGGCGGCACTGAAGTGGCTGCGACGCCGCCGACGACGACGACGACCAGTGGCAAGCAAAATGAAAATTTATAATAAAAAGCAAAATATGCAAAATAGGTTGGCATGCAAAAAAAAAAAAAAAAGAAGGGGGGCAGGGACTTCGTCTGAGAGGGTGGCAGGGGGCAGGCAGGGGGTTGGTTCGAGACAGGGCAGTGTTGGTTAAGTCTGTACAGCAATGTGGCGACATTTTTGCTGAAATTCTTTTTGGCACGGGCCAAAGACGTGGCTAAAACGACAAAAAAAAAAGAAGAAAAACCGAGCGATTGAACAAATCGCAACAAATCGCAGGGGCTGTGGGCAGGGGGAGGGTGACGTCGTTCGGGGGAGGGCGCATAGGTGGGGTGGGGTAGGCAGGGGTTTGGCAAGAGCCACTGAAAACGAAGATAAAGTGTTTTGGCATTTGCTTCTGCCAGTTGGGCCCTTAGGTGCCTACGCATTTGGCGTCATAAAATGATTTATGCTTGGCAGGGGCATGGCAGAAGGGGTGAAGGTGTGGAAGGGGGGGGGGGGGGGGTGGGAGAAGGGGGGTTGCAACTGACAACTTGGCTCATAAATTTGGGCATCTGAGAAATTGGCAGAGCCCAAAATGGCTGGCAGCCACTCAGTGCGCTTCGTTGCAGCCCACTAAATTTAGTGGCTAAGACGCATTTTGGCCAAGTGCCAGAATTGACAAAAAAAATATGGGATTAAATGCAACACGGAAAAGGGGAATGAAACGAAATGGGAGAGGAACGAAATGACAGTGGAACAAAGTGGGGAGTGCAATTCAATGGAAATTAAACGAAATTGGAAGCAAATGGGAGTGATACGAAACGGGCATGGAACGAAATGAAACAAAATGGTAGTGGAACGAAGCGGGGAATGAAAGGGAAGAAAGTGGGAATGAAACGAAAAAAAAATTGAACGAGATGCAAATGATACGAAATGGAAATGAAATGAGATGGGAATTAAACAAAATGGGAATTGAACGAAATGGAAATGGAATGAAGTGGTTCAGCAAAATGGCAATTAAATAAAATATACACGAAACGAAATGGAATGAAACATCATGCCAGTCGACTGCTGTGCATGCTTGTACAGTAAGCGCGAGCCAATTAATAAGGATATAAACTATTTATGCCTTAGATGCTAAATATATGCTTAAATTGGTAACCTATTTTCTGACATTTCTCATATTGGAACGTCATGAAATGGAACAGTCGATCATTCGAGTGCTCGGGATTCTGTGAAAGTTCCTTAGTACCATAGTTCCATAAACAACCCAAAACAACGACAATTTCCATTGCGTAAAGCTAGTTTTTGTCACGACTTGGTGCTACAAACTGTTAAGAGAACGGAGCGGAACGGCTTGGAATGAAACAGCATGTCAATTGAGTGCTATCTGTGGTTACAGCTTCAGCATGGATGCACGTCCTGCATGAAGAGCTCGAATTTGGAACGTTGTTCCTTCTGGTGCGCAGATCACATTCACAACAAATCAACGATAACTCAGTCCCAAATCGATAAATATCGATTATCCAGTAAGAAGAAGCGAACCACGAACTCAGCCGCTGTAGCGCTTGGTGCAGAGTATATGTCCCAGTCGTGCACGCCCGACCAGTGTGCACCTACTTGTTGTTCGCTGGAGGCTTGTGGAAGTGCCTCCAGTGCTTGGTTAAGTGAAGTACACTCATGGGAATTGGATCGATGGTGTTCGAGCCGGCTGTAGGATGCGATTACCTCTAGCTGCCGCTGGCTGTGGCCTGCTGTTGTTGTTGTTGTTGTGGCTGTTGCTCAGGTGAAGCTGCCAACTGCTGCAAAATTAATTTACACACACGTACGCACACACACACACACACACACACAGAGCGCAGGCAACACGAGCTGCACTTAAGAGCATTTTGGGCGTGGCAGCTGGGCAGCTGGCGCACAAAAGCCTTGCCTTTGCCTATGCCTTGCCCTGCATTGCCTTGCCTTGCCTTAACTGGGGGCAACACGAAATCAAATTAATCCGGTTTGTTATTTCATCATGCAACGTCAACGTCATCATCATCAGTTGCAACAACAGACAAAAGGCGCAGCAGCAGCAGCAGCAACAGCAGCAGCAGCAGCAACAACAATTTGCAATAATAAATAGCAAGAGCAACACACACACGAGGGCACACACACAGCGTCGTGTAAACAAACGTCTGCCAAAGGAGCGGAAAATTTCATTAACAAGGCACACAAGCAACAAAAACAACAACAACAGCAACAACAACGACAACAACACCCAATTTGCTGCTGCTGCTGCTGTGGGTCCGCTGGCCGTGCCACCAAAAGCTCCTAGGCGATGCGAGGCACACAGCCCACCGCACACTCCACCCGCAGCTGCCGCCCCTAGTTATCAGCATCAGTACCAGCCCCTCCTCTACCCCCCGCCCCCTGCCCCCCTTACAAGCCGTGCTCCGAGCACTGATAATTTAATCAACTCTCATTGAATTATATCATTTTGCAATTTGGCCACGCTGCTGCCTGCCTCTGTGCAACATGCAACATCGACAGCGCTTCTATCCCGCCCCAGCCACGCCCTCTTCACTTGTCCTACGTTCATTTCCATGCAAATTCAATTCTCATTATGATAGCATCCAACGAGCTGTCGCTTCAGCCGAGCGTCCATTTTGAGTGCGGAAATCAAAATAGGAAATGCCATAAATTTGCCCCAAAACGGAAACTCGTTGCCAACCTCTCTCTCTCTCTCTCTGTGTGTGTGTGTGTGTGTGTGTATCAAGGTGTGTTGTTAGCTGCCCGGCTCACTAAGCGCTGCTTTATACCTCGTTCTCTATGTAAACAATCCAATCGTATTATTTGTTCACTAACCCCCTTTGGTTGCCCATTGGAAAAGTAAACTCTCGAAAGTATGTTTATAGGGCCTGCACCCCAAACGTCCGGCCCCAGTCCCAGTTTATATTTTCACTGTATTGACCTTATGAGATAAATTTGCACGCTATGACGAGGTTTCGGGCAATTCCACCCACAAGCGTGAAAAAATCGCGAAAGGCGTGTAAATGAAACTCG